AAAGTAACCGAAAGCCTTAATCACCCACCAGCCAAATCTAACACCCTCTTTCGAAAAGGTTACCTATCGTACGTTACACGATAATTTGAATTGTGGAGCGACAGAGTCGCAATCTTCCGAACTCAACAATAGCAATTTAATCATTATCAGTTTTATTTTTAAGGACTGATTCGAGTCATTTCAATCGGTAGAGATTGAAAAATAATGTGCATCGATGTAATTTAAAAAACATTTATATGGACATTACTAATGAATTTGTATAAAATCAGTATGATAAAATATTTAAGTAGTGATTTATATTTTGTTTACGAAATACATAACACAATGTGAAATATTATCAAAATTAAAGGATATAGTACATAATAAGCAAGTAGTTACACAATAGTATGTTTTTTAAAGCTACATCTGTACCTGTTCTTAAATCGGGTCAGGGTCTGTAAATACTAATGAAATCGGTCGAAACGGCGAGTAAGTCGCTTCACAATCCAAATTCTCGTGTAACCTACGGTTGGCTTAGTCGAAAAGAGGCGATTAGATTTGGTCGGTGGTTTGGGTCCGTAGTTAAGTATTTTTCTCGTCTTGGGTTTTCCTTCTCTTGAACTTTCTACTAACTTTAATCCTCAATTACCTCACTACTTCGGGTAATTGGACAACGCGTACAACCTCAACTATCACACTTCTTTGGATAGTTGGACTCGAGTAACCACGGCTGATCCTGGTACTTTAGGATACAACAACCGGATGGGGGTGTAACAATAATTACAAGAAGCGGGTTTTTATGGTCTGGGACTTGGCGATTAGTTAATGTAGCAAAGGAGACGTTTTTATATTTATTATGATGTAAGGGGCCAGTTATTATTTTAATAAAGCAAAGTACGTAACTCCCTTTTCCCTAGGGCCTTTTGGCCTTTATTTATTAGAGAAATTTACTATATACATTTTCACGTTCTATACTAACGTTATCTAAGACTACATGTATTATTATGTTTACGACTACTTCATTACTCACTCCGCCCCTTTGATCGGAAAGGACTTTTCCTAAGTTTCGGTCCTTTCTGACGATTCTGACTTTTCTAGCCGTGTCACGTGACTTAGCCGGATAACACTAGATATAAATCAGGCCAGCCCTAATCTAAATGGCAAACTTTGTCGACAAATAGCTTCTGGAGACCTTGGCTTATACTAGCTCTAATTAGACGTCTTTCTAATTCCTATTTGTATATTCACTGATGTATTTATTCCACATTCGTTTTAATGTGAGATTCAACCCCTTGGTGATAAGAAAATATCGTGTTTTAGATTTTGTCATGAGCTTTCCATCAAATTATTTAACTATGGGCATTATGTTGATAAATTTAACTTTCTGCTAAGTGATAGGAATTAGTATAAATTCGGGGTAATGATTGAATATATTATGTATAATTTCAAAGTAATATTTATTTTAGCTCGATCCAAAAGAATAACAATTAAAGATATTGTAGGTTAAGAATACAAATATGTAAACACTTATAAACTGCAATTTTAGAGTAATAAGTTGGGTTATAAAGTTAATGTTATTCGGTCTAAATGACTAATAAATATTTATTCATAATAAAAAAAAAGTTTAACAAATGTATATGGGTAATAGATAAATTATTCAGCTCTTCTTTTAAACACAAGTTCGATTGGTTGTGGTGTTCCGTGGCCCTTCTCTCGTACTCTATCTTTGTGTATGCTATTCGGTGGCAATAATATTTCATATTTACGCACTATAAAGATATGTAAGAATATATTAAATATATGTAAAAATTATTTGTTAAATATTAAAATACTTACATATCAAACATAATGCAATTCTTTGTTCAATAAGAGATAAATTATTTCCTAAACACCTATTAAATTTTTTTAAAAATTTTCTTTAAATTCATGTTGCACAAATCGTTATTCATAGATTAGATTACAATGAAAAAAAAACAAACATTCTGGATCCACCACCAAAGGCCAACCAAGAATCATTTCCACTTGCAAAATGTTCATTTTCAAATCTCTCGGGTACAAATTTTTCAGGATTTTCCCACAACTTTGGTGAATGTTGTATTCCATATATAAAGAGTGCAATACCTGTACCTGCCGGAATCACATGATTTTTATATTTCAAATCTTCTGTAACTTTGCGAAATGGTAACATTGGAACCTGATTTTATTAAATAATTATGCTTATTATATATATGATGCTATAATTATTTGCATAACGTTATAAATATATATAATACTAACTGGAGGGTATAATCTAAGATTTTCATGAATTATCATGTTTAAGTACTTCAACAATTTATGTTGTTCAGCTGACGGAGTTAAATTATCGCCAAGTATTCTCAAAATTTCCTCTCGAGCTTTTTGCTGAACATCCTAATAAATAAAAGTATAAAGTTATTAAGTAAAAATAAAAAACCTTTACCAAGTTAACGGAAAATATTCATACTTTATGAACAGATAAAATATATAAAAGTGTTGCCAAAGCATTTGCAGCTTAATTTATAACAAATTATTAAATAAATTATGAAATAGATTATGAAATTAATTATAAATGAATTATAAAATGAATTATAAAACAAAATCATACGTTTAAAAATTAATGCTATGTCACCTACTTGTATCATGGCCCGCAATCATAAAAATTGCCAAATTATGCTATTAAAATAGAAATGGTATTAAGTTAATTAAAATTCATTATTATGTTACCCACAATTTTAGATAAATTTTAGTCATACTCTTAATTCAAGATCAGTTAAACTTGGATTTTCTTGATTATCTTGATCATTGCAAGCCTTTATCATAAGTTCTAAAAGGTCACCATTAGATCTTCCAGCAGCTATAGATTTATGCTTCTTTTCAATCATATCATCAAATAATTTTTCCAATTTCTCAACCTTTCTAATACGTTTATTTTTAAAATACGGAATGCGATCTAATGGAAGAATAGTAAATATAACGCTTTTAAGTTCCTCTTGAACTTCATTATATGTTGTTACGTAAACATTTGTTGGATCTCCAAGATTCTAATTTAAAGGTCAATTAGAATTAATAAATGATTCATTAAATAAGATCACAAAAAAAAAAATATTTATACATACATTAAAGTCAAGATCAAAGACAACTTTTCCAAGAACATCCAAAGTGAACCTAAAAAATTTTAAAATTTAAAATTTAAAAAAAAATCTAAAAATATATAAAATGAATTGTCTTTGGTATTTATTTATTACCTGTGCATTAAATCCACAACTTCAATAGGTTTATTATCAATTTCTTCCATGATATCCATCAACTTTAATCCTGTTTCAACGACCAAATTTACAGGCAAAACTTTAAATGCGAGATTACATATACGTCTAAGTAAAAATAAAAATTTATTAGTGTATAATTCAAGAAAATAAAATTTTAAATTACTAATACATTTTACATGAAGTAAAATACCTCTGTCGTTTCCAAACCTAAAAAGAAACGTACAAATTAATCAGAAAGAAACACTAAATACATAAATACTTAACATAAAAAATTTTTTATTATGCTTACATCACCGTTTGAATGAACAACATTGACACCGTAATGATGTGAAAGAGCAGTATCTGGTAAATATTCATCTAACTGAAGTTTTGGAAATACATCTATGAACCAGTTTAAAGCGTCCTCAAATTAAAATTCTGGAATAAGATATCTTTGATATCGATTAGTAGATAGATCACATACCAGGTCGCAAGAATATATCTTTTGCAAGAACTGGATCAGATATAAGACAAAACCACTTTCCCCTGATTTGAAACTATATAATAATAGATAACTTATTATTATTATTTTTTAAATTCAAGTATTTTTTATTCTATATAAATAAAAACAAAACTTTACTTTTATAAGACCATCATTATCAAGGTAACTCTGATTCGTTAAATACAACCTATCGGATCCCAAACTGTTCGTGACTGCGGCTTTTAATGTACTTAAAGTTGTAACTGTATGAACATCTTTAAGCCCATTTGGAACTTTAGGATTTAGAAAATAATATATTATAAATAGGACAAAAACGACTATTAAGATAATCCAAAAATCCATTTTTTATTAATGGAAAAAAAATAATCTTTAGTAATTTGTAGTCTATCAAGGATAAAATAATTTGAAGGATGTTGTGCTCATTTTTATATTACGTTGTTTTATCAATGCTGCTGCAATGCACAATGAAATTAACTTGAAGTTGGTTTTAATTATTGGACGGATATTTACCTCCGCGCTTATCTGTTTTTTTTCTATTTTAGGAAGAGGTAACAAGATTACTATTTTTAATATGTGTCTAAGATTACACAATTAATAAGAATTATTATCCGGCAGCTACTATGTATAACTTGCATCACTCTTCTAGAAATGGTCCAGTATAGATATTTCTAGAAATGGTCCAGTATAGATATTTCTAGAAATGGTCCAGTATAGATATTTCTAGAAATGGTCCAATATAAATATTTCTAGAAATGGTCCAATATAGATATTTCTAGAACCGGTGGTTGGTCTACAGAAGATCTTCATTCAAAGTTTAAACATCTGTAAAAAAAAATACTGACTAAATTTTTTATTAATTTTAAACGAATATCTTTCAACAACCAGCTACCCAAATTCGATCAAATTTTTTTTTTTTGGTTCAATTCCATAAACTCAGAACTAAAAAAAAAAGGTTTCATCGATTTTGGATATAAGGTGTTGAAAATTCTTGGTTTAACCAAAGATTTCTCGACATTCATTTATCCGAATTCGATGAAATTTTTTATTTTAGTTCTATAAGTTCATTGAATTAAAAAAAAATAAAAAAATAAAAATTTGTCGAATTTAGATAGCTGGTTGTCAAGAAATATTCATTTTAAAAATTTAGTCGCAGCTTCTTTCTTATAGACACTTAAACTTTCGATAAAAAATTTTTATTTTAATGATATAATTTTATAGAATTAAAATAGATCATATTTGACTAGTTAAGTACTGAGTAATCTTTATTCAAAGTTTAGGTGTCTATTAAAAAAGAGTTGCTGCTAAATTTTTTTTTAAATTTAAACGAATATTTCTCAATAACCAGCTACCCAAATTCAATCAAATTTTTTTTTTTTGATTCTATAAACTCAGAATTACAATAAATAAATAAATCCGATGAATGGTTGTCGAGAAATCTTCGTTTATTGTTCAGAAAAAAAATTTTCCAGCTTCATTTAAAAACTTTTGGCGAAAATTTCTTGATAATTATTTATCTAATTTCAATGAATTGTTTTTTTACAATGGTATAAAGCTATAATAAAAAAACTTTGAATTGATCAATTAATTATTGAGAAATCTCTACTAGAAGTTCGAAAAAAGATTTCTTTTAGAATGAATGTCCCATGACTACCGGTGATCATTAATAGTCAGAAATTCTGGCTTTAACGGGGATTCTATCAAATTGGATGAACATTCAGTGGGTAGATAACAGCAAAAAAGAATATATTCTGATGGTTTTTCATAAACACTGTCACTCGGGTATAGAATAAGACATATTAATAAAGAAGCTAATGATAAATACTTAGAATGTTTAGGGGAGCTTCAAACTTTAAAACACTTTAGTATAAGATGTAGGAAAAATAAAGAAATCTGAAAAACTGCTTACAATTTAATTGAAGCTTTTCAGACAAAGACACCCAAAAATGATCAAGAAGATTGCCACAGCCTCGAAGATCACAGAAAAAAAACTCAAAATCCCAGCAATAAGACTCCATGCAGTTATAATTTATGAACTCACATAAGCAAAGTGAGGAGGAAAACTAATTTCAGATCCTATACTTCCCTTCATAACCAAGAATAGAAGATGCGGATGGCAGAAAGGTTAGTGAATAACAGAGTAAAAGGAAAAGAGTATTAATTGAGAGGTTAACTATAATCAATTCAAGTAATTAGTTATAATACTTTCATTCTTGTATATATATTCAATAAGTAGCTGCGCAACGTTGTCGCGCGAAACCAGGAACGGGAGAAATCTACGCAGACACCATTTCAGTCACCGGA